GGGGGGGGGGCTCCAGCAGAAGCAGCAGCATGCATGGCCATGACTGATGAGCATGGGTTGTGGGGGAGGCCCAAAGGCCCGACAGGCTCACATCTTTTGACTCACACACGTTCCCCCGTAGCTAATTAAGCCTCTAGCTAAGCCTAAGCTACTAGTAATTAACTGTAGAAAAGGAGAGCCACTTGGAAGTGGAACCACTCATCTTTGGACCGTACGTGCACACATTTGTTGATATTTAATATTACCTTTCTCTTTGGCTTTGGTCACATCTCAATCATCTTCTCTTCTCTCTTTAACTCTAATAATGCTTCTTTTATGACTTTGCAATATTTGATTCTTATGAAAAAAGTTCATATTGAATAATGCAAGTAAAAGTCTCATCTTTGATTTCTTCATTTGCTGCAATACTCATTAATTAATATATATATATATATATATAAATTGTCAGGAAATTAAGGAGGAAGCTGCATGATGGAATCATAAAGATTTGAAAAGGTTCCAATCCAAGGGAATACAATCTTATATACCAAACTTTTTCATGCATGTATCTGTTTTTACTAGTAAAAAACTCTCATATCGCTGATAAGAAAACAATATTATTCTTGTTTAGTCAGTATGATGACCGGAAGCATCAATAATTGTGAAGAATTTAATTAATTACTCAATGGCTTTGATAAAAATAAAAATAAAAATAAAATGGCGACGGAAAAGGGCAAAGAGAAAGGAAGGGGGGGGTTGAGCTAATGATTTGGGTGATCCATTTCCATGTATCAAAGGGAATAAAAGGAAGGTGGAAGTTCATGAGTGATAAACATCAGTCGCATTCACATACCTAAAAAAATATTTTATCAGTCGTCTTTGGCTTCTGCTCTGCACGACTGAAAATACATTATCATGTCACGCAAAAGTAGGGACCTTTTGGCTGTGATTACCCACCGTCAAATTCCTCCCGACTCAAAACATGCATCATTTAAATACGGAAAATTATAAAGAAACTTAAGGGCTCTTTTGGACCCCAACTCTTTTCTTCTTTTCTTCTTCTTTTTTCATCTACACCCACCACCACCACTATCTAGTATCTCATTTTTGTTTCGTGCCCATTTTGCCGTTTTAAATAATTATGGCAAGAAACTGAAAATTCTGATTTTTTTTGCATCGATACTTTACTATTTTATTTAAATTTTGTATTATCTTCATAATCCACGGTATGGTACCTACATGCTACAGCAAGATAAAATTCAGATACTTTACTATTTTATTTAAATTTTGTATTATCTTCATAATCCACGGTATGGTACCTACATGCTACAACAAGATAAAATTCGTCAAGAAAATATTTGATACTTACGAAACAACAATATACCTATGATATGAATAAAAAATGAAAAAATATACCAATTTGAGATATGATAAAATAATTATTCACCTAAAACTTTGTTTGTTTATCGTCTTTATTTCTAAAGGTAACATTAAATCATACAAGAAGAGTTGACAAAATAAAAAGGTGTATAGTGCAGTATAGGGTAAAATATACATTGTTTTTTGTATTTATAATAGTACTGAAGAGTGAGAGAGAGAGAGAGAGAGAGAGAGAGAGAGAGGTGCTTGAGAAAAGAAGGTTACCTTGTTAAGTGGAAGAGTAGGATTGGATGGACAAAATGATTGCATGTGCATGCATGCGAGAATTTGTTCGATAAAATGTTTGAGGATGTGATGGTCACAATCTGATGAACAATCAGTTTGATTGAATTGCAGGATCTCTGCCCAACTTTTAAGTACTTTGTGCTTCATTCTTTGACTCTGTTCAACTTCAAACAGACCAAATTTTGTCATCTTTAACCTCAATCTTCTCGCTTACTAAGTTAGGTTTGGTAACTTACTATACCAATTCCATTGAATCATTTGACTTCTTTTTTTCACCAATTTCATTCTTTAGCAAGAGGTGATCCTGAAATTTACAGACAAGAGCAACCAGAATTAGACCGAAATAAAGAAACTAGAGAAACGAAACTGGAAAAAGAAGATACAAGACTGTCCACGTCATTCAACAACCTATTACCACACGAGTACTACCACGTGTAGGAACCCATGTTGGGTTAAGCTAATCATATTAGGCGGTCAATTCCTAACCCACCCACCTTTCACTTCACACACTCTCTCTCTCTCTCTCTCTTGTCGCGGCCCCAAATCTATAGGAACTAAATACAATATTTCACTCGCTCCCTCCCTCCCTCACTCTACTCATGTACACGCGTGTGTGCCCTTAACTATACAAATTGGTTGGAAAAAAAAAAAAAAACACGAGACTTAGAAGAATAATATTTTTTTTATAAAAGACTTAACAAGAATTAAAAATACTCTGATATCATATCATATGTTAAGAAAACGAAGGCTTTGAAGTCACATGTTGGAAAATTTAAGATGCTCGTATTAAAAATGGAATAGGAATCAACAGACAAATAAGTTAGTATAAAATGTAAACTAACAATATGTGTTTAGGGAAAAGTACATAAATTTTTTCTATAATTAGTCTCAAGTAAGATTAATTTCGACACAAAATGCCGGGCTCATAGTCATAGATAGTTTATTATTAGTTTTAGTGTCAAAAGAAAAGACTTATCTTTGCAGCAGGAAAATAGACTATCACTTGATGCTGATGGGATTTAAAGTTTTTAAATTAAATAAATAAAAAATGATATACGCGCCTGAGTGTGTGTGTGTATGTATATCTATAGATTATATCTAATCTCTTATCTGTGTGGCCTCCTATATATATTCCCTCCAAAGTTACTACAACCCCTTGTAAAATCACTCCCTCCCTTCCCCTACTCTCTCTCTCTCTTCTCTCTCACTCACTATCTAGTATCATCAGTGTTTCCCTCTCTCTAGGGTCATCAGCCGTATGAGAAGAAAAGCACACTGACTGAGCGCAGCCAACAACAGCTGCACACGAGAACATGCTCCAATAATCCCTTCCCCAATCCCCCAGTTCGTTATCTAACGGTTTTCCCCTTCTTCCCATTTTGCCCTTTCCCTCTTCTCCAATTCACATCCAAATGCCACCAAACCTCCACCACCACCGCCACCACCAGATCTGAACCCAAACTCTTAATTACTAAGCCAGGCCAAGAGCCTTTGCCCTTTTCTCTTCCCTTCTCTTCTCTATCACAAACACAAGTTGATAACTAGCCAATTAAAAATGATATCGTGGCACGACCTTTACAACGTCTTAACGGCGGTGGTGCCGCTGTACGTTGCCATGATCTTAGCCTACGGCTCCGTCAGGTGGTGGAAGATCTTCTCCCCCGACCAGTGCTCCGGCATCAACCGTTTCGTCGCCATCTTTGCCGTTCCTTTACTCTCCTTCCACTTCATCTCCACCAACGACCCCTACACCATGAACTTCCGCTTCATCGCCGCCGACACCCTCCAGAAAATCATCATGCTCTTCGCCTTGGGCCTCTGGACCAACTTCACCCGCAACGGTAGCCTCGAGTGGATGATCACCATTTTCTCCCTCTCCACCCTCCCCAACACTCTCGTCATGGGAATTCCCCTCCTAATCGCCATGTACGGCCACAAAATCCCCGAATCCGGCAGCCTCATGGTGCAAGTGGTCGTCCTGCAGTGCATCATTTGGTACACTCTCCTCCTCTTCCTCTTCGAGTACCGCGGCGCCAAGCTCCTCATCATGGAGCAGTTCCCCGAAACCGCCGCCTCCATCGTCTCCTTCAAAGTCGACTCCGACGTCGTTTCGCTCGACGGCCGCGATTTCCTGGAGACCGACGCCGAGATTGGAGACGACGGTAAGCTCCACGTCAAGGTCCGCAAGTCCAACGCCTCCCGGCGGTCGCTCTCCGCAATGACGCCTCGACCATCTAACCTTACCGGTGCAGAGATTTACAGCTTGAGCTCGTCCCGGAACCCGACGCCGAGGGGCTCGAATTTCAACCCCTCCGATTTTTACTCCATGATGGGAGTTCAAGGCTTCAACACGAGGCCCTCCAATTTCGGACCCGCCGACTTGTATTCGGTCCAGTCCTCCCGAGGTCCGACTCCGAGACCGTCAAATTTCGAAGAGACTCCAATGCCGCAGGCGCAGCCGGTTACGTCTCCGCGGTTCGGGTTTTACCCGGCGCGGACGGTACCGTCTTCATACCCGGCTCCGAATCCCGAGTTCTCGGCCCCTGTCAGTAAAAGCAGTACCAAAAACCAACAGCAGCAGCAGCAGCCGCAACCGCAAGGGGCAGCGCAACAGGCTTTGAATAATGGTTCTACTAAAACGAATAGTCATCCACATGATGCTAAAGAGCTCCACATGTTTGTTTGGAGCTCCAGTGCCTCCCCTGTTTCGGAAGGCGGTGGGCTCCATGTATTTGGCGGTACTGATTTTGGCGCGTCGGAGCAATCTGGACGGTCCGATCAGGGCGCTAAGGAGATAAGGATGTTGGTTGCTGATCACCCTCAAAATGGAGAAAACAAAGGTAACTAACCACTATTTTTTCTTCTTATTTCTGTTGGGCATTAATTAATAATTAAAAATATTAATAATTAAATATAATGAATGTGTAGTGGCTGTTAGTGAGAGTGGTGGTGGTGAGGTGTATGGCGGGAGGGGTGGTGGTGCAGAGGGAGAGGAAGAGAGGGAAAAAGAAGGAGCCACTGGGCTGAACAAGCTGGGTTCGAGCTCAACAGCTGAGCTACACCCAAAGGGCGGTGGAGGTCTTGAGCACGATCCGTCCGGTAGCGGAAAACAAATGCCTCCTGCGAGCGTTATGACCCGTCTGATCTTGATAATGGTGTGGCGCAAGCTTATCCGCAATCCGAACACGTATTCTAGTCTGATTGGTCTCATCTGGTCTCTGATCGCTTTCCGGTGAGACAAGTTAAAATGAAATTGAATGATTGATTTCGTATTTGGATTGTTTGTTACAAATTATGAACATATATCCTTGTAGGTGGCATGTGGCGATGCCGAAAATAATAGCAAAGTCAATCTCCATACTGTCCGATGCTGGGCTAGGAATGGCTATGTTCAGCTTAGGTGAGTACTCTCCTCCAATAATACCGAATTAATAACAAATTATATGGTCGAGGTTTGTATTAGAAGCATAATAATGAAATTGAATGAGTTGCGGCGCCTAGCTTCTTAGCAGTTGCCGTGGCACAATTTCAGTCGTTGGTCAATATTTGTTTGGCACCATGATTTGTATTCTATCAAAACCATCCATCCATCCACTGGTTCTTTTCTTACTCCTAGTTTTAAACTTGGACTAGAAATTCTAAATGGGTATTGACCACCCGACATGTGGGGTCCTGCTTTTGCGGTCCAGGGTCGGTGGCCATTGGTTGTCACAGATGCCAATTCGCTCTAAATTAGTGAAGGTAGTTGAAACCTAGCTGAAACCCCCCATTATTTTTTTATTATAAAAAAAACCCTAATAATAATAATACTGAATTACTTAGCTTAATTACTTAGCTTTAATTACTATACTGATTATTTACTGATGAAATTAGGTCTGTTCATGGCACTTCAACCCAAGATAATTGCATGTGGGAACTCTGTCGCCGGATTTGCAATGGCTGTGAGGTTCCTGACTGGCCCAGCCGTCATGGCTGCTGCCTCCATTGCTGTTGGCCTGCGCGGTACCCTCCTCCATTTAGCTATTGTCCAGGTACTTCATCATCCCCTTCATTTTTAATTATTTATTCAGATATAATTGTTTCAATAATGTTCATAATGAACGTATAGGCTGCCCTTCCTCAAGGAATTGTTCCATTTGTGTTTGCCAAGGAGTACAATGTCCATCCAGCCATTCTCAGCACTGCGTAAGTAGAGACATTACATATAAAGTATAATTCTATGTCGGTTATTTTTTATTTATCTTTTAACTAATTAATGAACTTTAACTCAGCTTAACTGTAAAAATTGCAGGGTTATATTTGGAATGTTGATAGCGTTACCAATTACTCTTGTCTACTACATTATTCTCGGACTGTAAATGTTGTTGTCATAGATGCATAAACACAAGAGAGTTGTATGTTGTGGCGCAATTCGTGTCACACTTTAAATTGTGATTTTGGAGTATGCACCTACAAGCTTGATGAGGGATTTTCCGGCAGATGAGAAAGAAGCTAGCAGGACGAGGAATTCCGCAAGGTTGAAGGTTTTTATTCCAAATTTTTGGGAGCAAAAGTAATAGATTTTTGACTTTTTGTAATTAAAGAAGGGGAAGCCCTGTTATAAGGATCGTGCTCCCATTAGAGGCCAAAGTTTATCTAAATTTATGAAAGCTTGTTGGAAGGGAGCAACGCAATGCAAGTCTGTGTAGCCTTGAGAGGAAAAGAAGGAAAAGCAGATATCCCTTAAATCAATCATATCTAATTCTCTTCATTTCGTCACTCAAGTCAGGTCAGGCCTCTGATTTCAAGCGAATTCGTCCTTTACTGTATAAAAGAAGTGACGATTGAAATCGGTGCATGAATATATGGAAGACAAAAGAATAGGTGACAAAAAATATTAAAGATGGCATTTTATCTTTATATAATTTATCATTTTCCTAGTATAGTCTAGTTTTCTTGTCTAGTTTTCTTCTTCTTAACTTTGTTCCCAGTCATGGTTTTGATGATATACTATCCGGGGAATGTGGATCCATAAATTATTTGGGTTTGTCGTTATTGATGACTCTGAACTAATTTTTCTACTGGAAGTGATGAGTACCAAAAAAACTTGGACAGGGGAGACATTAATTTGTCAATCACCTATGTTAATTAGGTGTTAATAAAAAGAGAGTCAAAGACAAGAGGATGGATTTTTCAGCAAGGATAAAGACTTGTCAATGGACCACCCTCTTCTTCTTGATTTTATGCAAGCGAAAGCAACTTGTGGAGACTTTTTGTAGTTGGGTTAGAGCAAGCAAAGTCATTTGGTTGAACTTGAATTGAAAGCACATTGTCTTTCTTCTACCATTTTGTATATGGATGCACAGAAAGGAGGGGCTTTGAAGTTGCTTGCTGCTTCTTCTTCTCTTAAGATAAAAAGTGAGATGAGAAAAAGCGGAAAAGTTGATAAGCTCTAGTCAAAAAGCAGTTTAGGCTTAGGTTACTTTGTAGCTTTTCGCTTTTGATGCGCCCACAACCCTACCCTACTTTTGTTAGTTTTTATTTTATTTAGGAGGCCCATAGGCCCACTAGGCAGCGGTGGGCTGGTCAGCAGTTCAACTTTTTTTTTTTTAAAATAAAGGAAAATGATAGCACGTGATCGGTGCCAATCAATTTGTGTATGTCACTCATTCATTCATAATGATCACAGAACATCACCTCCTCCCACAAGTCGAAGTCGGTGGTGATGATCATCAGATTCATGACGCCAATTCTAAATCTCAATACGAATGATTTGATAGATCTTCCATGTAATTTTCGGCTTGTTTATATTTCGTGAAAACAATGTATAATTCATTAAAAAATTCATTTTCATGAAAAATATGTAAAACTTCAGTGTAAATTGTTTTTGTTACAACCTTTTAATTATAAAGTGACATGTCCTTAATATTACATCCAACGGATTACAGATTTTCGATTTTTTTTGTTCTGTTTTTCTATGTATATATATATAAAAAAAACTTTTTCTTTTTATTCGTGCAAAACTTTGCCCATCTCTTCCTCATCTCCTACTTCTCTTAGCGCCTACACCTAAGAGCACTTGCACTCATTTTCCATGTTAAACAGCAAGGGCAAGGCAATGATTGTTACTATTCATGTGAATAGTGGCAGCCCTTGCAAAAGGCTTGTTTTGTTTCTATCCATTGCCATGGCAAATGGCAAATACAATTCACTTTATTATTATTATTATTATTTTACTTAAACAATTCATTTGGATAAGATTTTCGGTTGTCACATGTCAATATATATTATAAAATTTACATATCATATTTCGGATGCAATTTTCATATCAAATTTTTGAATAAGATTTTCGGTTGCCATGTGTCCATATTTATTATAAAACTCACTTCTCAAATTTCAGATAAGATTTTCTAATAAGATTCTCAGTTACCACGTGTCGATATTTATTATAAAATACAAAAGTCATATTTCAAATAAGATTTTCACCCTCTAAAATTGCGTCACGTGTCATCTCTATATTCTAAATCCCTCTATAAAACTAAAGCCTCAACTCAGACCTCTCACACCATATCCTCTCTATCCTTTCATTTCTCATATTTTAGAGAACACATTCCACTCTTAATGTCTTACATGAGGAGGTGTTTGGAGAGGCAAGAGCAAGGAATTGAATAAAGAAGGCGTAGATGAGCTGAAGAAGAAAGGGAGGAGGAAGAAGATGATAAACAAGTTGCCATGGCAATGGATATGATCCATCTAACAAGCCAAAGCCGCCACTGTGGTTCACAAGTCGGTCGTGGCTCGAACGTGGACAAACGTAAGCATTCTCAGAGTAAGAATCTTTTGGAAGATTACTTTATCCCAAATTCGTTGTACTCTACTGTTGATTTTCGAGGGCGATATAGAACGCATACATTTTTTTACCCGTTGGATTGGAGGACGAATTACGACCAAACAACCCAAGATAAGCCACATGGCTTCTAGCCATTGGCGGAAATCAGGGCTGATGGCATCAGCGCACGGAAGTTTCAAATTTTTTTACCGTTGGCGCGTGCACCCGACGCTCCAACGGCAAAAAAAAAAAACAAACCGAGGCGCAGACGTCAGTTGCCCTCTGGCATGAGCTCATGCTCGGGTTGGTGGTCCCCACCATTTGCCCAGGCTATAGAAACTCGCTAGAAGCTCGAAATTGGGCTAAGGCCCCCTCATACCCGGGCTTCCCCTGCGCACTAGAAATGCTCTAAAATGTCTTCACAAATCAAGATAATGGAGAATAGAAGACTGATGTCACCTAAACCTTAATCTTTATTAAGGATTTGGATGAACCTTCATTAACTTTCGTGCACCCATAAATTAAGGCCATCTTTCAAGTACTAATTAATATGTACATTAACTATTATCTCCTCTAACTAATAATAACTACTGGGAAATATTTTTCTTCACCACCATCATTCTCAACACTTAACACGTGTTGATATAACCATAGTTAACTCTTAACTTCGTATTTATGGAACCATGGTTATGCTCATGGACACATATCAAGTGTTGAGAATGATGATGAGCAATGGCGGAGCTAGGAATTCTATCGAGAGTCAACTTTAAATAGCTTTTAAATTACATTAAACTTAGTTTTTATAAGAAAATATATTTAAGAATTCATTATAATTATTAAATTTCAATATCACAAATTTAATATCTTAGTAAGTATAACCCAAATTCTAGCAACCTAAGAATAATGAAAGAGAGTATTATCAAAAGTTGATTTGAGATAGAATGAGAAAATCAAATAAAATCCATGACGCACACATAAAAATGACATATGAAGACATGCAAACAAGTATAGATCATATTCCTGTTCATTGTAGACAATTTACATTTGCAAGAAGTGTCAACAATAAATATAGCTATAAAACAACTTGGATAACATAGATAAATATAAGGTTTGCAGAATGTTGAGAAGGATCAAGTGACCCTTGTGGGCCTTAATTGGCTCCTCCAATGATAATGAGGATACACTTTGATTTAAAGTAATAAGCAAAAATGCTCCCGTGAGTATTTACAATGAGCATGCAAAAGCCCATCCATATTTAAATGTTATTAATTTGGTGAGTTTTGGGATTAGGCATTTGGCAAAACCCGTATCCCAAGATCTGAATTAAGGAGATGGTGTCGATTTGGGAGGGAACACACGCACTACACAGTGGAACACTAGGTGTTAACTAAAACCCAAGCAATATAAGTTATTATTATATGATCTCTGTAAAAAAAGATGATGGAAGAATATATATATATATATATATATATAGGCGGAGGAAACTAATAAATAAGACGAAGACAGGAATTAGGCAGTAGATCACGAAATTAAAGATAAGGAAGAAGAGAGGCAAGAAAGACGACCAACATGCTCGCTCCATGATATCGAAAAGAGGTCCAGAGCAGGCAGAAAGGCAGGCTCAACGCCCGCCAGAACGCGAAAGCGATGGTCTTGGAGGTTGCAAATGGGTGAGTTACGAAACCGACGACTCATGAACCCTAGATCCATGTTCACGGTACACTTTCACATGCATTTGTAGCCACAATCCAACAAAATTAAGTTCTCACCCCCACGTGTGCACTCTGCTCCATCAACCTCAGCCTCACTTTTTAATTTCTCATTATCTCTATCTATAATCCTACTGGCTAATTCTACTAAAAGAATTAAGAAATCAATCAATCGTTCCATCCATGTTAGGAAAAAAGTTGACATTAATTAGGGTAATTAAACAAACAATATATTAATCTCGAGACCTGGCAAACAACATCAAGTTATTGTTTTAGATGATATTTTTGAGCCCATAAATAGATGATAGATGATAGATAGACCACAATTATTATGTGCAGTGCATATGCATGGCATGGCACCACCAGTATGATCGTTGATCGATGTGGACTAAATGGCGGGGCCTGAGAGCAATGGCATGGACGATTGAAGATTGATCATCGTACAGTTCACGCACACACGTGGCTAAAGCATTAGGGCGGGGTCCATCGTCCATGCTCATGTGGATGCCCATACTTGGGTCATGTGGAGCTAATTAAAGGAGGTTTGAAAAATCTAACATTTCAGCCAAACATGCCATGGTTAGCTATGTATAATTGAATTGCTCACTGAGGAGGGAGGCCCCGTAGATAATAGGAAGAAAAGGATACAAATAGAGAATCCAAGCAAGGTAGGGACTGTTTGGAGGAACCAAGTTTTGCAGGGCTTTTGGACTTTGCAGGAAGCACTTTTCTTTGGATACAAAGGGAATGGACCCCAAGGTGACACGAACCACACATCTCTCTCTCTCTCTCTCTCTCTCTCTCTCTCTCTCTCTCTCTAGCTAAGGTCTAATTGAAGGGTCCTACCATTTTAAGACTCTTTAGTCTTTACCTTTGTAAAGGGAACTTTGTGTTGTGTGGATGATATATAAAATACAAAAGGCCTCAGAAACAAGCAGTACAGTCCCCACAAAGCACTTCAACTTGAGAGTCTTAAAAGCCCAGACCCTTTGAACTGAAATCATATCATCACTACATTTTTGCAGCTCAATTCTCTGCATGATTCATCGTTTTTCGGCTAATTTATTCGATACTTTTAATCGTACACTGCCATCACTTTGTACTTCACACACACACACACACTCTAAGATCTGAATGGTGGTAGGCAATCTAAAAGATAGGTCACCAGACGATATTGGTCCATATATATACATTATATGTGCATGATTGGGAATTCGACAAATAATGAACTTTGGTTTTGATTTTACTAAAATTACTTACATGGAAATGGTAATGAAGTTCAATATGTGTAGCAGCATGTAAATAGTAAATATATAAATATATGTCCTTTGACATAATAATTATGTAATAATTAATGGATGATTAGGTGGGAGTAGGGCACACAATATTAAAAACATAT